CGTTGGGACCGACTGTCCACCGGTTCTTGTGGTGGAAACGGTATATAACTGTCGCACAGATCCTACAGTTTGTCCTATTCGTGACGTACGGCATAATCAGTGCTTTTCTGAGTACAGGCTATCCATCAGTTTTCTATTGGGTTCTATGGATTCAAAATCCGATCTTTTTATATATGTTTGTAAACTTTTACCGCAAATCCTATGTTAAGTCTATTGGTATTAAAAAAGTTTTATAAAGGTTTCACTTTACTATACACTGTAAAATTTTAATATTATAAAAATTGATTTCATTAAAATGTTTATTTTTAAAATAATTTTAAATATTTTAAATATATCTAGTAAAATCATTAGAATTTTGAAAAAATAATTACTTTCGTTATAGAAAATTAAAATATTATAAAATATAGAGTTTAAAATTATTTAAATAATTAATCATAATTATATGTAATTATTAATATACAGTATAATTAACATTAATTATTTTGTTGCCTTCATTCCCGTGGAGTATCGGTAATACCGGTGTTGGCCAGGGATGTCAGCAGTGTGACCAACCCAAGTTTGGTAATTAGTGGACATTTTGATAAAATAATTGAATAAATAGAGGACAAATAGTAGACAACATTTTTATAGTGGAATTGAATTAATTTTTTGAAAATATTTTTTCTGCTGATCTCACGAACCACAGAAATTTTTGACTAGTTTTGTCATTTTTACATAATTTCCTATAAATTTGCTCCACTTAAATATAATTTAACGATAATGTATTTTATTATTATTATAATGTGAAATACAGTTTATAGCAGTTTTATGCTTTAATTATTTTTCTAAATAAGGCATTTTATAATTTTTACAAATAAAGGACATTCAATGTCCACTATGTCTCTCTTAAAACACAGAGACAAATATAAAAATAGAGGACTGTCCTCTCCAATAGAGGGCAGTTGGTCACACTGGATGTCAGGTCGGCCGGACGTGTGTGTGTGTGTTATTTTTCCCTAATAATTGAAACAAGTATATTATTTAAATTTCTGAAACAAATATTAAAGTAATTTCATTTTCTACGATATCTAAACAATGCAAAATATAAAAAATATTACTGACATTAATTATGGGCCATTACCGGTAATGAACTATTATTTGCATGACTATTGGACTCATGAGTCAGACCCTCGGACCCGACAATATTGGCTGACCTGTGGAGGGCCTCTACCGGTGCTGACATTCATGACTCTATGGCTGCTTTTTGTGACAAAAATAGGACCCAAACTGATGGCAAACCGGAAGCCGTTTAGCTTACGATGGCTTATGTTTTCCTACAATATACTGATGGCCGGCACTAACGCCTACTTTTTCGTAATATTTCTAAAGTTTTTAGACTTTAGTTGTCTTATAACAGAGTATGAGTTCCCATCACGTGAAGATACCAGTCCAAACACCATACAATACATCAATGTTGCAATGGCCTACGGGTCCACAAAATTGATAGACTTATTGGACACCGTATTCCTAGTGTTACGCAAAAAAGGAGTCTCACCTGACATTCCTGCACCTCTACCACCACTTCATGGTACCGGTGTTTTGCTGGATATTAGCTAAACTCGTGCCCACCTATCAACCCATTATCCTCTTTGTCGTACTCAACACACCCGTCCACACAATGATGTACTCGTATTACGCGTTGTCGGCGTTGGGACCGACTGTCCACCGGTTCTTGTGGTGGAAACGGTATATAACTGTCGCACAGATCCTACAGT